TTGCAGAAACTATTTAAGAAATGTACCCTAAAAATAAATAATGAAAGGAGAAAGTGAGCATTGACTATAGTCAATGTTGTATGCCGTATATTTCATGCCATCATTTCTGCTTCGACTACGATGGAATATTGTGGGAGAAAAATCTGTGCTGTGGGTCACAGGAAATGGTGACACCGCATTTTTTTTAAAAAAAATCTTTCTGCTCATTTGGATTCTGTATAGTTCCCATTACAGAAGCCAAGTATTTTTGAGGGGGGAAAATAATCAGACAGAAAGAAATGACAACTATGTAGCCTCCAGTCTTCAAGAGAAAACCAGAGGCAATGTATTTCTTTTAGGCATAGTTTGCCTTCTGTGTGTGTCAGAGCATAAGATGACCCCAAGGCAAGTCTCTAAGATGGGCTCTGCCAGGTGAGAGACCCCCAGACTGCAGCCAATGAGTGAAGACTTCTCTGCCACTGAAAGTCTCCACTCATCTCCTCATTTTTGTATACTCTATCTGGGCTGCAATAGGTGAGAGGACAACTACAGTAGATGACTGTGAAATATTTTTTGGCTTTCATCTAGAGGTCACCTTTATTTTTGCAGCCCAGGTATAGATTCTCTCTGTCCTCATTCTTTCATCAGCAAAGGCAAAGAAGAGCCAGAAGGGGAAGAGATCAGCCTGCAGCAATCACAGGGGAAGCCGCAGGGGTGAAATCCAGCAGGTTCTGACAGATTCTGGAGAACCGGTAGCGGACATTTTGAGCAGTTCGGAGAACCGGCAAATATCACCTCTGGCGATCAAGGTCTTTTTTGCATAGCCTGGCATTCACATGGTCTATGTTTCTATAAGCTCTGCACAACTCTCTCTCTCTCTCCCTCCCTCCCTCCCCCCCCTCTCTCTCTCCCCCTTCCCCCTCTCTCCACCCCTTAATTTATTCTGCTGTGGAAAGAGCAGAGGGAAAAAGGCTTCAGAAGTTCACTATTTGATAGAAATCATTCTCCAGGAAATTCAGGGCAAAACATTCTCTGATGCAATCTAAAAAAACAAATCTCTGTGTACATTAGTTAAACCTAAGTGCAACCAAGTATGCATTTTCATCCAAGGGTGTTTTTTTTTTTGTTTTTTGTTTGCTTCTGGACATGTTCACCACATATGGTAATATGAACCAGGTATTTGGTTGTATTTCCAACATTTAGCAGATTTATCCTTATACATTTTTGCCAGCATATAGATATGAAACCAGAAATATTTCTATCGGGCCTTCTGCCGGAAAGATATGACAACGGGACTATATACTTCATTTTACATGTATTAACTGCAACTAGAATTGTATTTACTCAACAATGGAAGTGTTACGAGATTCCGACAGATGAGAGTGTATTAAAGAAAATATTAGAATGTGCAGAAATGGATAGACTAATGCTTACTATTAAGGACAAAGAAGAAACTGAATACTTTTTGACATGGGACTTATTTTACCAATGGTTAGACAATAAAAACAGAAGTTAGAAATGCAGGGACATAAAAAGGATAAATGTTAAAACGGAAATTTGAAAAAATAAACAAACAAAATATTATTGTTATTATACCGTGTTTCCCTGAAAATAAGACCCTGTCTTATATTTTTTAACCCCGAAATAAGTGCTTGGCCTTATTTTTGGGGAGGTCTTATTATTTTGGGGCACGTGGAACAAGATGGGGCTTGTTCCAGGATAGGGCTCCTCTTGCTGTCTTACCTGATTTCCAGCTCTGCGTTTAAATATTTTTGGGTAGGACTTATTTTCGGGGGGGAGCCTTATTTTAGCACATGCGCTCAAAAGCCCGATTGGGCTTATTATCAGGGGATGTCTTATTTTCAGGGAAACAGGGTAGCATCAATGTTATTGTGATGAATGTTATTGTAAACATTTTGATTACGATTGCCTAAAAACCCCTGTACCCAGACAACACAGTTTGATTGAAATGGGATTTTTATATGTTATTCAAATAAAGTAAATAAAACATGAGAAAAAAACCCTAAATCTAAGTGGCTGCTTGAATCTCCATAGCACAGGCATGTGAGATGGTGTGGGTTTTAGTTAAGGTGTTGGACTGGTACCAAAGAGCCCAGGCTCAGCTCCACCCTTAGCCATGGAATTCTCCATAAAATGAAATATGAAGATTTTTGCATTTGGGAAACAATATACTTCCCTTGAGAGTTACCCATCTTTACAATCCATTATAAAGAATGGGTGACATTATAATAGTTTCAGAGGCCTAACTCCAATAGGGGAAGGCTGCCGATATTTAGAGAGAAAATTGCAACATGGAGAATCAAAAGCTAAATCTTTCTTATCCCACAAAAAAATATTTTTCTAGAAAATGTCTTCCACTTGCCTCTACAATGTGGCTTTATAAAAAAAAACTTCACTCCCATGAAAATTAATTCAAACCTTGCTAGGGAGAATATTTTCTCTCTGATCAGCTGTTGATTAAAGGTTTTGTGTCTTGGTTTGTCCTAAGTAGGGAGGTCCCCTTCACGGTTCATTACCTTGTAGTAGTGAAAGGGCTTGCAAATCCCAACACTGTGTATCACCAGGAGTACACTTCCATAAGAGTCATTTATAATATAGAACTCATGCACAACACCAAAATCAAAGTGATTTTTCTGCAAGCAAAGATGGGAAAATTCCAAGACTCAGTGCTATCTATGGCTCAGACCATTAGCTTCTCTTGTAAAATGCAATTTAAACTAAAGGAACAAATTAAACATCAAACTAACAAGATATGACCTGTGCAATATTTCACACGATATGAGCTGTAGGTGCTAAAAATAGAGAATGCATTTAATGGATAGAGTTGAAAGAACTTTGAATTGAAATCTTGGTGATGTGAAAAACCCATATATAATTGTATGCCCAGATGTTATGGAATTGGCCAAAGAGATGCATTTTAAGTTTTGACATTCATTCAATATTGTTGTAGTATGTTATTGTTATTTGGCACCAAATATTGTCAAATAAATAACAGTAAAGGACCATTCTATGCAATCTGATTTGTCATAAAAGTCTTGATGGATCCTGATTGTCCTTAGTATGACTATTTATGATTACTTTATTTATTCTGATTGTGCCGGTGGCTTTTGCTTTTATTTTTTTGTTATACTATACATTTTATTGAGTTTTTTGATGTAAAGTTTATAAATCTTCAAATAAAAAATACACTCCACCTCTTCTTGCTTATAGTTTTAATTAAATTGTGTGTTTTAGAGGAGCACTGAAATCACTTTATATCAAGCACAAATTTTATCTTCAGTTTTTCATGACATTTTTTGCTGCCAAACACAGTGCTCAATTGTAAAGCTCAGTAACACACACACACAAACACACACATCTCTCCAGACAAGTTAATCCCTTTGTTTATATTTATGACTCTACATAAAACTGTTCAACATTCAGCAGAATTGCAAAGATTGCCAAATGGAAAATCTAGAATGTAATTCTGACAAATTACTGTAAGCATCAGGTTTGTTCATCATGGGGGAAATTACCAAGTGTCCACCACATTCTTGGAAGTTGCTCTGGTGGAGAAGGAAGACTTCTCCCCTTCCCCAAAATCATGCAAAGTCATTATTAGATGAAGAATGGCTCATAAGTTCCACATTGGAAGTTACTTCAGCCTGGTTCTCTCTTTATTTGTAGTGTTTCATTTGCACTAAATCTTCTATATCATCATATCTCACAGTTTCTACTGACACTGAAATAGGAGTACTGTAGTTTTTTCTTATAAGGAATCAGACTTATAAGAGCTATAAACAATAGGGAAATAGATGAACCAATGGTATAAGACCACGTTCTGGTGCAAAGGCACCAACACACTTAAACCATTGGGGAAGTCACTTAATATTAAACAAATTCAGCTGAACTGCAATTCTGGCATTTTGGTTTTAAACAACTAATTAAAAATGCATGGCTTTAGTCACACTATTGTGACTGGCATTTTAATTTTTTGATATACATCCAGTGGTGGGTTGCCCCCGGTTCGCACCGGTTCTATAGAACCAGTAGTAAAACCGGCGGGAGGCTCCGCCCACCGACCCTGACATCATCAAAATGCTTCTGCGCATATTCAGAAGAGCGCGCATGAATGAAGCAAGCAAGTGTGTGCGGCCCGCTACAAACCGGTAGTAAAGGTAAGTAGAACCCACCCCTGCATACATCCATGTATACCATGACCAACCCTGATATTTAAACTGATTCAAAAGGCTACTAATGTTTTAAGCAGTTGCTATTTATCAAGATTGAGCTTTGGGCCTGCAGTGTATCTCACAAGATTGCTGTTGTACAGATAAAATTGGAGGGAATACTAAGTAGACAATGCTGAGTCCATGGAGGATGATGGAAGACAGAATCTGTGATGCAGCAAGGAGGAGAATGATCTACTGTCCTTTAGCCCTTGGATATTTTTCCAAGGACCTTAAATATATAGTCTAAAGGAAAGCCTTTATCAAACAAAATTTTCAGAAAGTTGTATTTTATTGCCAAAGTTTGGCAAATGGTTGCCAATAATTGCTGGGGACATGTTTACCTCAAACTCTGTATATTTAAGAAGCTCTTATTTCTCAATTGGACTGGGAAAAAGAAGCAGGAGATAAAATTATGGGGAAGTAAGTGAAAGTAACGTTCATACCTATATAGCTGGCTTATTTTATTTTTCACTTCCACTTTTTATAATTGGGAACATCTGGATTTCAATCATCAGATGTGCTGCTATCACATTTAGTTTGCAAGAGAGCTTTAAATGTGAAATGCAGTCAACCATAAGCTCTTGTCATCTGGCCTAGCCATTGTTCTGGCTGCGCTTCACTTGCGAAGCATGTTTTCATTTCCTTATTTCAATCTTAAAAGGTTTTATTAGTCTTGGTAAGGCATGGACTGGTTGTCAATGAATTTTTCTTTTTCATTTAATGTTATTTCGGGAAGAGGTGGCCTATATAATGACAGAAGGAAAACAATTAAGCAGTTTTTTCCATAAATTAATCATTTATTTCAAGTGAAAATTGTGCCAAGTCTACAGACAAACCAATTCTTTGATATCACTTTTTTTATACTCAAAATTTTTATTGTTGTTAGTGTTGGATGTACATTGTTCTGTTTAATTAGTTCTCTGGGTGTAAATGTAATATATAAAAACAAAAATAATAACAAAGTTGCCAGTCATCAGAAGACCCAATGAAATATTTGGGATGTATTTGACGAGCATAACAAAGGTACATTTCAAAATAATTACAGCAAATTCTTGAGAGAAATTTTAAAAATTTGAAAGGTGGAAAAATTAAAAATGCTCATTAGGATCAGCCCCAAATGTTAAAATGAATGCACTAGCCTTACCTAAGATTTTTTTTAAAAAAATACAATTCAAACGGCATCAATTTCAATCCACAAATTATTTTTCCAAGATTGGCAAAAAACGGTTAATAAATGTCGTTGGAAAGAAAAAAAACCTTGTGTATTTTTTTTTAAAAAAAATGTGTTAGCCACTGTGTTATTCTCCAGATTTGCTTGCTGTGTTTTTGTAGATATTCAGTCTACAAAATATTCATCCCTATTCAGCTTTCCAAATTGGCAATAACTGGAGCACTATCTGTCCATTGGCTTCCTTTAGCATACCAATTCAAGGTTGAAAACTCATTTGGACTTCAGAAATCTTTTGGAAGATTTTCCTTGTTTTTCCATGTCTGTTTTCATCTGCGTTGTGCCCAAATATACCCTTTTCCATATCCTTTCTGTCTACGAAGGCAACACAGTTTCTTTCATGTTATCTTTGTCCTGAGTAATAAACCGTGGGATCTGTAGCTGAAAACATCCAGTTGTAGTCCATCTCAATTTGCTGATACCTAAAATGTCAATGTATAATTTATTCATTTTGTATTTTACTATATTGAGCTTCCTTATGTTCATATTTTTTGCATTCCACATCTGGAGATCTTCATTTGCCCCTCCCAGAGAAAGTGGAGAGGAAGGGATGATTAAATCTGCCTGTTTAGGTAACACAAATCACCACCACCATAACCCCAACTCTGTCCCATGTTACTGAGAATAATTGGCGTCTGCTTCCCCACCAGCTGAGGAATCTATCAATTATCTTCTTAACTTGGCCTTTGACAAAACTGCAAAGACAAAACCATTCATGAGCCTTCCTAAGCAGATTGAGGCTAGGCTGCTAGGATACTGCAGTTGATCCCAGCATATTTTTCTGATGACTCAAGGACTGGAGAAAGGTACATTAACATGGCTATTGAACAAGAGTCCACATGCACTTCAATTCTGCTCGGTTGAGTTAAAGGAGGCTTTAACAGAAAGCGTGAATTATTTCAGTTTTAAACTTACAGTATAGGTAGCCCTATCGGGGTGAAATCTAAAATTTGTTACTACCAGTTCTGTGGGCGTGGCTTGGTGGTGGGGATAATATGACTGGGTGGGCGTGGCCAACTTTTTTTTTTTTAACTTTTAAAAGCATTTTTTCTACAACCTCTTCGGCCGAAGAGGTTGCAGGAAAAAATGCTTTTAGAAGCCTCTGGTGATCAAGCAACTCAGCTGGGATCGTCAGAGGCTTTTAAAAGCATTTTTTGTAGAAAAAATGCTTTTAAAAGCCTCTGATAATCCCATCTGAGCCATGCGATCATCAGAGGCTTTTTTTTTTAACTTTTAAAAGCATTTTAAATGATAAAAGCCTCTGATGATCGCACGGCTCAGCTTGGCATGGGGGGGGGGCCCGCAGGGATTTTTGCTAACAGTTCTCCGAACCACCCGCCACCATCACTACTGGCTCAGGAGATCCGGTCCGAACCGGGAGCATTTCACCCCTTTAGCCCTAGACTTATAACAATTTGTTTAATGACCGTTCCGGCACTGAACAAAGTGACTTATAGCCATTTTCACACTTACAGCCATTGCAGTATCCCCATGGTCACATGATCAAAATTCAGATGCTTGGTAACTGACTCATATTTATGACAATTGCTGTGTCCCAGGGTCATGTGATCACCTTTTGTAACCTTCTGACAAGCAAAATCCATGGGGAAACCGGATTCACTTAATAGTTGTGCTACTTAGTTAACAACTGCAAGGATTCACTTAACAAATGTTGCAAGAAAGGTCATAAAGTGGGGCAAAACTCTCATTTAGCAACAAAAAATTTGGCCTCAGTTGTGTCATAAGTCGAGGACTACCTGTATATAAAATTTACAATAAATTATTATGAAATTATTAAATAATTATTTAAATTATTTAAATAAATTCATATGTGGCCATATGAAAAAGTAAATCAAGAAACAGATCAAGAGAAATGTTGGCTTTTTCTGTTCCCAAAAATAGCATATGCAACTGAATACTGAAGGAGCCATCTGGTTTTGTCAGAACTTTCCCCATCTCTCCCTATGCAGCAACATTTTTCATAGTCTTCAGCTCATGTATGCATGTGCATGCACACCCACTCAGAGTGCCAAATTCTGTTTTGACTTTATAGCGTTACATTCTCAGCGGAATCGTTCTCAAGACAATTGTGTCCACAAAATTGATTGGTGTGCTAGTTTATGCATGAAACAAAAATTCTAAAATTAATCTTATATAGATTTTTCCAATCTGGTACGCTCCAGATAGCTTCATAAACAGGTAGGACATAGTCTCTCTTTGTGTGGATAGAATGGCTGCCTTAAACTTTTCCTAAACAATGCTGGGAAGTTGACTCTGTTGATTGTAAATACAACTGCCAAAATGGCTCTTCCCAAAAGACATATGAAAGGTGCCCTAGAGTTTACCAGCAAAACCTTCATAATGTATAATTGTATAATGCCCGGAAAGTTTTCTCTCAACCATGAGCTCATACTGTTGGCTTCCTACTGACAGTCCTTCACTAAAATCCAGGCTAACATAAGACTTACTTCACATTCTGAAGGCAAGTCCATGGAGATTCTCAGCCATCCAGGACATGGTTGTGCCAAAGGTGCTTTTTTTCAAGAGGCAACAGGACTTTCTGGTTTTTCTTTGAGGATGTTTCACTTCTCATCTAAGAAATTTCTTCACAGAAGTGAAACGTCTTCAAAGAAAAACCAGAAAGTCCAGTTACCTTTTGAAAAAGCACCTTTGAGATTCTGAAGGCAACCTAATTTGCTTAGCCAAAGTGAAGAAGTGACCTGTGACAAAATAATTCACCTTGACAAAGAGCAAGGGGTTGCTCTTCAACCACTTCAAGTGAGCTGTGAGAGAGGAGGGATCCTTTCAGATTTTTCCCTCAGGGCTGGCTGAAGTGCTTCCAGGCTGAGCAGCTTCAACTTTGCCTGCAATGAACACCAAGTAACCCATCTGAAAGCCTTCATTTGCAAAGCTTTTGGCAAGTGATAAGGAGGTGAGTCTGTGGAAGGCGCATTGTTTGCTGTCTCTGCTGCCTTCCTCTTTGCTGAAGGCTGAAGAGGACATGCCCTCATCTTCCAAACTTTTGGTGAGCACCCTGGAGTGGATGGCAATGCCTTCTCTGCAGCTCTCCCACAGGAGGAGGCAAGTAGAACAACTTCCCCAGCGTTTGTCATAGTGTTGGGCTAGCAGTCCAAAGAACTGCCCAGCCCCATGAAGACTTTCATGGAAAGAAAAGGACGTTCAGAGCCAGTTTCCTTTGACATATGCTGCAGGCCAAAGCCACTCAGTCTCAAAACACCAGAACCAGCACTGTAGGAGAAGGCACTTAACCTTCTCCTGTAATGTGAGTTTTTCAGAAAATGGACAAATTACGGCAACACAGTGTCAACAGTGGAAGGTAAAGACTGGTGGCTTCCCATGACTGAAATTTGGTTGGCACTAACTATGGGGAAAGCCTGCAGCAATCACCACACATAATTTGTGCAAGGTCAGAACTTTTGCAGCCCAGATGTGGTTTCTAATTATTTTTTTCAAAGATGAAAAGGACATAGTGAAATAATCAATTTGATCTACAGGTAGTCCTTGACTTACAATCATTTGTTTAGTGATCCTTCAAAGTTACAAGAGCACTAAAAAAAAGTTGACTTTTGACTGGTCCTCCCACTTATAAGGTTAGGGCATCCTGCATCATGTGACATCCCAACCAGCTTCTGACAAGCAAAGACAATGGGGGAAACTGTTTTCATTTAACAACCAAAACAACTGCAATGTTTTGCTTAACAACCATGGCAAAAAGGTTGTAAAATCAGGCACAACTCACTTAACCACCTTGCTTTACAACAGAAATTCTCATCCCAATTATGGTCAAAGTTGAGAACAATCTGTAGTTGTTAAGACCAGGCGTGAAATCCAGCAAGTTCTGACAGGTTCTGGAGAACCAGTAGCCAAAATTTTGAGTAGTTTGGAGAACCAGCAAATACCACCTCTGGTTGGCCCCAGAGTGGGGTGGGAATGGAGATTTTGCAGTATCCTTCCCCTGCCACGCCCACCAAGCCACGCCCACAGAACCGGTAGTAAAAAAATTTGAATTTCACCACTGCGCTGGACTAAGAGTGGAAAACTTGAGTTGACTTAATTACAGAACTAAGTCATACCAATTGGATGACTTGAGCCAGTTATTCTCCATGGATTCTCCAATTACTCTCTCACATCCTAGGAAGAACACATTAGCAAAGCAGCTCCAAAAATTGCCAAGAAAATTGCAGAGATTGTCCAGGCCAGTGGTTCTCAATCTTCCTAATGCCGCGACCCTTTAATACAGTTCCTCATGTTGTGGTGACCCGCAACCAGGGGTGGGTTCTAAATTATTTTACTACCGGTTCTGTGGGCTTGGCTTATTTTGTGGGCGTGGCTTGGAGGTCATGTGACTGGGTGGGCATGGCTATGTGTATAGGGACTACTCAGAGGGCTGAAAAAAGTCATTTCTGACAGGTCCTCGCACTTTTGACTGGTCCTCACACTTATGACCATCCTCATATTTATGCCTGTGCAGCATTCTTAACAACCATGTCACTCATTTCACAACTGCTTCTCTTCAACATGGTATAAGATAGGGCAAAAAACGTAAAATGTGAGGACAGTCGTAAATTCAAGATCTGGTCAAAAGTGCGAGGACCAGTCAAAAATAACTTTTTCAGCTCTCTGAGTAGTCCCTGTGCACAAAAGGACTATCCAGAGGGCTGAAAAATGTGATTTCTGACAGGTCCTCGCACTTTTGACCGGTCTTCGCAGTTATGACTGGTCATCATTTATGCCCATTGTACCATTCTTAACAACTGTGTCACTCATTTCACAACTGCTTCTCTTCACCATGGTGACAAGATAGGGCAAAAACATAAATTGTGAGGACAGTCGTAAGTTCGAGAACTGGTCAAAAGTGCGAGGACCAGTCAAAAATAACTTTTTCAGCCCTCTGAGTAGTCCATATGCATAAAAGGATACAGCAATAGAGAGGGATGAAGGAAGGGAAGGGAAATTAGAGTAGGAGTGAGGGTAAGAGAGGGAGGAAGAGAGGAGGGGAAGGAGAAAGGAAGAGGAAGTAGGGAGAAGAAGAAGTGGGGGAAGAGAAAGTAAGAAGGAAAGAAAAGACAGAGGTGGTAGATTTGAGGAGAAAGATTGCTGTACAATAAAAAAGATGAAAGGGAAGAAAGCCAACCCCAAACAAATATAAAGATATTAAGATAAAGAATGAATTGTTAAACTTTAAAGAATAAAAGAGAACAAATAGCAATAAATAGCAATAATTAGAAACACACATACAAACATACAATGTATTCTCTTTGAATAGAGTATTTGGCCGGTCCACAAATTTAAACAGTTGTAGGAGGTTAGCACCCACCCCTTTCCTAGAAGAATGAAATATTTTGGGAAATATTAAAAAGGCAGAATATTATATTTCCCTGGATGAGAAATGGAGAAGCAT